CCGGAGCCCCGGCTCCTGACCCACTTCTGCACGTTCCCCGCCGAAATAAAAGTTCTTCCCAGGAGTTTGAGGGCCGAGGGCTGCGGCCCTCCCACCCCCGCCGGAGGGAGGGCGGTCAGCCGTTCCCGGGGGTGGAGGCGGGATCGCCCCTGCGGAGGAAGCGCTGGCTCCCGCGCTGAGCTTGGTGCTCCGCTAACCTGCGCGCCCCTCGGCGCCCAGCGGCGGAAGGTCGGGGGAGAAAGTGGATTGCTGGAACCAAGTTGAGAAAATAAGAGGGGCGCCCTTGGAAGGAAAGCTGCGGGCAGCACGCGGGGCCCCCGCCGCTTTCTCGACCCTGATTCCGGGAAGGCTGGGCTGGGCTCAGGAGTCTCCCCTGCCTTCCCCGCTTTCAGCCTGCCAGGGCACTGGGCACCTAGGCTCTGGAGATGTTAGCCGAGTACGTAAGGATGGGGTTGGGGGCAGTGAGAAAATGCTTAGAGAAAACCTCAGTAAATATGTTTGTCGAGTGGACTGAAATAAAGTACGGTTGATTTGCTCAGTAGCACATAAAGGTTCTGTCTACTTGAGCTATTTTCTTTAGGAGAAAATTCGTTCTTGTCGAGAGCATTTCTAGATTGGGGACGGGACACAGAAACCAAAATCTCTAGTAGTCAATCTTCAACGTGCAAATAAAACTGGCAGGAGTGTTTCTGGTTCACTTTCTGAGTCGGGGTACATTGGGGTGCCTGGCCCCCTGGATGTTGGAGCAGTGGAGGGACTAGCAGGCAGTGCCTTCTCTGGGGGAGAGACCCGGTAGGAGGAGGGGTCAGGCGAGATTCAGCTCCAGGGTCCCAGACCCGAGTGAGCTCTGAAGGATAAGAAGCAGTTGACTTTTGAAATCATTTAAAGTGCTTTAGTTACTGCTGCGGCAGCAGTTTATTTTCATAATGGAAAATCTGTAGCAAAAAAGTAGTTATTAGAGGTCCTGATAAGCCTGCAGAAACAATAGATAATGTCAGAAAATGCCACATGAGCGCCAAGAAATAGGTTTTGGACACGCTTTTATCTTCCAACCAGTTTCCCAGTATTCTTGGCATAACATCATGACAGTCCTCTCTTTCAACCTCTGAAAACTGTTACTGCTTGACCCAAACTTACCTTATCTCGTTTCTAGAGTGTCGTAAATCTGACAACGTGTTTTTCAGTGGCTGACAATAAAAGTTCCAGCTTGCTTAGTTTTGTTTCCGTGATTCTACCTACAAGTGTCTCCTCTCAAAGACACCCCGTTTTCTCGTCCGCTAACAGGAGTACTCCCCAGGTTACAAGAGGCGCAGGACCGTGGAGGATTTCAACAAATTCTGCACCTTTGTCTTGGCCTATGCCGGCTACATCCCTTATCCGAAGGAGGTAATCTTCAGCATTTTGGAGACCTTTCTTGCTGGCAGTGAACCCAGAGTGTCTGACAAGGGGGTTGTGCGGGAGGACTTCAGACTGTGGTTGGGCAAATAATCTTTCTTGGAAACTTAGACCCGCTTGGGAAGGGGTTCCTGAAACTGATAGAAAATGCAGGCTTGTCTAGAAATGGTTTAATAAACTTTTAACAGTTTGCTTGAAAATAACTATTTGCTACATGCCTGCTTTTACTGGCCAGTAGTAATTGAGGCTTATTATGGTCGGGCAATGTTCTTGGCTGTTATAATGCTATGAGGTAGGTACCATTATTGTCTCTATTTTGAAGCCGAGGACTTGGGCACAGGTAGGAGCACCTTGCCCTGGGTCACAGGCTAACGAATGCTGGAACCTGGAGTTCAACCAGATGGTTGGCAGGGTCCACACTGCCTTGTCTGGCCAGCAGCCTTCTGGTAGCTGTGCACATCCCATTACAGAATCTGCAGGGACTTTGGCCAAAATCCCATGTAATCTAAGGGAATTTTTTTTTTCCTTTGCTCAGAAATGGGCAGAACTGTGGACCAGCGTTGCCATGGTGCTCAAAATTCAGGGGCTTGGTATATATTGAGCAAGGCTGGAAAGAAAGGACTCTGGTACTTCCAGGAGGCTAGATCCCAGCATTGGCTTGTCCTTTGCACTGCTATCTAGGTGGATCACGCTTGCTTTGTGCCACGTAGAATGTTGCCACGATTTGCAAATTAAATTCTTAAATGGTCTGAAGGAACCATGGAGTTTCGCTCACTGCTTTGGGGCAATAATTACCTATTTCGATTTTTGCAATATTTTGAGATGTCTAGTTTTCTAAAAAGGAGTGTCAGGAAATGCTCAAAACTGATTTAAATTCACTTAGTTAAAAAAAAAAAAATATGTCCTGTGGAAGGACAGGTGGAGGGAGGTTTTGCAGTCAGGGACGGGTGAGCGGGTCGGAGAGGGTGCCTTCGCCCCTCCCACAGAGAGTGCGAGCACACGCTAAGTCCCCGGCTCTGGGACAGAGCCAGGGGTTCCGCAAGGGCAGCAGGTCCTCTCCCCAGGGTTTACGTTCCATCTGGAAGGTCTCAATAAGGCACAGATGACACCGTTCCTAAAGAATGAAGCTGACGAGACCTGAGAAGCTTAGGTCGCGAGAGCGCATGTCTGCAGCTCTGACCCGGCCAGGGGTGCTGCGAAGCTCTCTGCTCGGGCCAGCTCTTACTCCTGGGGACCGTTTGAAATAATGAGAACCCGTCACCTTTGCCTCTGTTCTTTCAGGAGCTCCCTTTGAGGGGCAGCCCCAGCCCTGCCAACAGCACCGCTGGTACCATTGACAGCGACAGCTGGGACACTGGTTTCACTGACATCTCGTCCGCGGTGCCCTTGCCAGTCTCTGACCACTGCTTTGGCCACCTGCAGCCCACCCTTCTGCAGCGAGCCAAGCCCAGCAACTTCCTGCTGGACAGAAAGAAGACCGACAAGTTGAAGAAGAAGAAGAAGAGGAAGCGAAGGGACAGTGACGTCCCCGTGAAGGAGGGTTACATGGGCAGCTTGCTGAAGCTGGAAACCGCTGATCCATATGTAGGGACCCCCACGAGTCCTCCCCTGCAGGATATCCCCCAGGCCCCCGGCGACCCCTGCTCGGGCTGGGACTCCGACACTCCTTCCAGTGGATCTTGTGCCACGGTGTCACCAGATCAGGTCAAAGAAATAAAAACTGAAGGCAAACGGACTATCGTCCGGCAAGGAAAGCAGGTGGTGTTCCGGGATGAGGACAGCACCGGCAACGACGAGGACATAATGGTGGATTCAGGTGAGTGGCCCCTGAAGGACAGCCACGCGCTCGCTGGCTGGTGGTCAGAGAGTGACAGGAAGCAGGAGTCTCTGAGCGGTCCCTTCCTTGCAGTATGACAGCAGTGCGCCCCATCTTTAGGGAGAAAGGTGCGATAAGGCAGATACTCAGATGTTTAGGGAGGGGTGATGGCAGCTAGAGACAGCTGAGATGCCAAGACAGACCTCGAAATGTAGAAACGTAGCTCACGAGCGCACATGTCACGGCGATTCCTGGGACCACGTGTGTCGGTGCCCTTCGGCGTGGTTACTGCATTTTCAGGGAGGGGAGCGGCACCCTTAAGTCAAAGTGGAAATTGGTTTCATTTGTTGAGGATCAAGTTGCACAGCAGTTTAGCTGCTTTGTCCCGTTGGCGGGTGGCTTTCCTAACGGAGAGGGTCGTGATGAAGTGGGACCCTGACAGAGAGGGGTCTGAGAGGTTTTTTTCCCTCTTACGTGTTTTCTCCTTTCAGATGATGACTCCTGGGACCTCGTCACCTGCTTCTGCATGAAGCCATTTGCTGGCCGCCCCATGATAGAGTGTAATGAATGCCATACCTGGATTCACCTGTCTTGTGCGAAAATCCGGAAATCCAATGTTCCGGAAGTGTTTGTCTGCCAAAAGTGCCGGGACTCCAAATTCGACATCCGCCGTTCCAACCGTTCCCGAATGGGCTCCCGGAAGCTGTTTCTGGACTGACTGCTAGTGAGCGAGGAGACCGTGGACGAGGAATCGGAAGGGACGATTGGGCTTATTGGCCTCTCTTATTAGTTGAGCACAGAACTCTCAGCTCTGGTGCAGGCAGACCCCTGCCATTCAGGTGCCTAAGCAAAAGGACAGGCTGTCCGAGGTATAAACTGTTCATAGCCTGTGACTGAATAAAATCCTTGTTGGCCAAAGCTGCTGCCAGAGCTGTGTTCCCTGCAGTGGAGGTGGACTAAACACCCAAGTACAGTGGCTTTGGTTTAGCTGAAAATGAGGGTACGTGGTGGTTGTGAATTCTTGCTGTCGTTGTTAACAAACTCCCGCTGATTGGCACAAGTGCTAGCTGTTATTCCCGCTTCCGCCGTGTTGGGGAGTGATGTTCCGTTTCCCCGGCCTGTTAACGAACAGCCATATGTGCAAGCTTTTTCTCGAGTGTAAGTCTCCTACCATAAGTGTCTGTACAGCAGCCCATAAGGCTGCCCCTCCTTTAGTGGTCGCCCTCTCCCCTGCCTTGTTACTGCTCTGTCCCCGGCGCTGCCCGCTGGAGTCCTCTGGCCTCACTCTTGAGAGGAGCCTGGGGGCAGGGGGTGAGCTAGTGATCCCTAAGTTTTCTTCTGTTTGTTAAAAGGGACTATGTGTGGCTCCTGTGTGGAAAGGGGGTTGGTTGGGGGGTCGAGGTGGCCCGTGTTCATAACTCAGTTTCCTGTTTTGCACGATGTAAAAAAAAACCCTGTCTTTTTTGCACGATATAGCCAAAAGTCTTGGCAGATTTCTGCCTGGGTGCCCTTTCCAGTTGGCATATGGGGCCCTGGGGTGCCCATGCAAGCTGTTTTCAAGCGAGGGGGCACTTTGGTTCCCTCCTCGTCCCTTCCCCTCACTTTATTCCAGTAGCAACATAAAGGTTAGGCAATCCCTGGGGAATGGCGTTCCTCTTTGTAATGGGGAAAAGAAAGATGGGGAGGAAGGCGTTTCCCATGATTCTTTGTTTCCCCTCCTGCTTTCACGGGCCAACGCTAGGACTTGAAGCCTTTTTTTGGTTTGAGTTAGTGAGTGAGAGAGATGGTAACGGTCTCCAGGTATATACCATTGAACTGTGCGGAGTTCCTTAGATCTGGACTGGAAGACCCTGTTCGGGGCCAAGTCTGAAGAAGCCAGGGAGTTTGCACCTAAAGCCCTGGAAGGGCTTTGCTCCAGGGCAGTGCACTCAGGGACACTGGTGGTTCTGGGGCCCGGAGGTGGCAAGGACTTCAGCTTTGTCTGAAATTGATGTTGCTTCTTAGCAGTCCAAATACTTGTTCTCAAAAATGTTATTTTTTGTAAATCGATGGGTGTGTTTTCATAACCATTGTTTCTTGTAAAGCATGAAAAGGGAAGAATGCCCAAGTTTGTCCTTGTTTACAGCAGGTTGGACCCCCAGTCTCCCTGAGGGGGCTTCTCCATGTGGCCCCTTCATGTAGGGCCCCCAGGTGGCTCCCCTCCACATTCTCTCACCGAAGCACCAAGGGTTTGAACCGTAATTGGCTAATCAGAGCCCATATTTTGTCCTGGTGTCATTTATGCTTGACCAGCCAACTGCCTTTTTTTTTTTTTTTTTTTGGTTTTTAATTGTTCCTTTTAACACAAAAATAGAAATAGTTTCTGAAACCCAGTTTATTGTGAAGATTCCCAAGAGAGACGTTCTGCTGTAGAAAGAAATAGTAAGAAGCTGGCTTAGAAACAACTTTACCCCCAGACAGCTGTCTGGCTCTGACTTAGGGCAAACGTGCAGGAAAAGTTGTTGAGGAATTTGCCAAAGATCTGCCCCAGGACATTGTCTAGTGTCTTCACGAGAATAGCCAAAGTTCCAAGTGTTTTTCTTGGTTTTTCTTTTTCCCCCCCCACAAAGTTTTACAAGTGCATTTAAGAATACGTGTGGTTTTAGGGTAGAAGTGCCGATGCTGGCGGATTGCTATATTGCTCTTAGAAGGTTCAATGCCTGGTGACTCCTGGAAGGCTTTTGATAGTCATCTCGATTTCTGTTTCTTCATTTCCTTTTTGTTCTTTTAACAGGTCTATCCCTGTGGGTGGTGTCTAAGAAGTCAAGACACCTTGGTTTTTGTGTTGATTGAGCTGGGCAGCTGCAATCAGCTTTATGCAAATTAGGCATGGCCCATCTAGGGGCTCCTGGTTGGTGGCTAATGAAGTGAGGGGAGGGAAAGATGTCACCCCAAAAGTAGGCCCCTCCCATTGGCTTTGGCCAGGCCAGACACTTAACATCGTTTACATGGTTCTGTGTAATTATAAAGTTTATGTGTATAAAGCGAAGCTGTTTCTGTGAAACTGTATATTTTGTAAATAAAGATATTGCTACTTTGAAGTTCAAGTCTCGCTTCAGGTGTTTGTGTTCTGTGCTGAAGAATAATTGCGGTGCTTCTCCCTCCATCACTTCCCCTGAGCTGTGACCATAAGAAGACTTGGGAAGTTAAAGTCTGAGTTTGGTTTACCAGGATGGAAAATGCCCACAGCCCTTAATACACTTTCCTAATAAATCCTCCAGAAACAAACCACAGTGTGAATAGTCACGAATAGCTTTCAGTTTCATTAAATTGTAGATGAGCTTAAACCCCTGTGAGTGCTTAACCTGCTTTGTAAAAGCTGCGACCTCTGAGGTACTGTCAGCAGGACGAGGATCTCCTGGGGGTGCACCTTCCACCTCAGGGTTCACAGTGCAGTGCCTGAGCCTGTTCTATCAACTGTGTCTGCCTAACTAATCTGGGACCAACTGGTATCTCTACTGACATTCCGGCGGCCAAAATCTGTTTTAGCACCTCCTAAAATCCTGAAAGTGCTGGCCAAGTTGGGCGTCGAGCCTTTCTCTGGTTCCAGTTGTCCAAGGCTGTTGGTGTAAATTTTGGGGGCCCCAAAACAAGGAAGTGAGGGCGACTGGCTTCAGCGAACTGGGTCGAAACCGGAGCCGCTCCGACTCCGGGGCGACGCGATTCACGGGTACCGCGCAGCAGAGCC